ACTAATTAGCTTATTAATTAATTTGTATCTTCATATTCCCAAAAGTTGATATTAGGGATATTAGGGATGACTTTAGTCACAGGACACTTAGAGATCAAAAATGGTGGGCACACCTTGATTTTAATAGGTACCCAAACCTCTTTTCACTAAGAAGCTTGACTCAATCTTTAAGGGAAAAAAAGGGTTATTCAATCCTCATCCTATGGAATACACAGTATTGTCTCTTTTTCTGGCTGAAGAAGCTTCAGAAAAGAAGCTCCCTTGGTGTCCCACATCTAGCCCAATGAACACTAGGAACTCCTGGGCTCAGACTTTAGACCTCTCTCCCTTTCCATTAAATTTTAAAGAGAGTTTAACTGTTTCTGTGTTTAAATGTGGCCATGATATTGTTGATGATTCCATTTCTACTTTTTACAAGGTTATTTTCACTTATAATTCTGTAGGCGACTTAACCTGTTGAATACCAAGCTCCTGATGCTCCACAGTCTACATTTTGCCTCTAACATTCCTTACCTCAGTAAACCATGTTGCTTAGGCCAAGCATGCCACATTTCAATCCTTCACAAATACTAGTGAATACTCTTACAGGAATAGTCAACCTTTTGACATTGAGATACAACATTGTTGTCTACATTCATGTTCAAGTACCACACAATTGAGTTTTCAGAGATAGATAATGAAGAAATCCCATAATGTTTTTAATAAGCTTACCACTGGGAGTTGGGCCACATTCATAGCTGTCCTTGGCAACGTGTAGCCCATAGGCTGTTGGTAAGTTGGACAATGGGCTATCCTAAGACTGTCCACCTCATTTTCTCTAGTATGACTGTCCTGGTTCAAGTCCTCATCTTCTCTGGGGGTGACTGGAAGATTTTCCCAATGGATTACATGCTTTTGTCCCTTCCCTCACTTAGTATAGATTTCTGCTGAAATGTAATGTCTTCTCATTAACAAGCTCCAGTGTAAGAGCTGGCCCTTGACTCCCTCTGTACACTGTTGTCAGGGAGGACCCCACCTCTTGTTCCCCTTCAGGTACATGGGGCAGCTTTCCCTGGTCATGCACAGCATAATCTGCCTCAGAGTTTGTGTTCTGTTGTTCCTTTGCCTAAGTTCCATTTCTCCAGGTACTTAATCCCTCCCCTTTCTTTGAACCTCCACTTCCATGGCATTTCTTCAAGAAGGCCCTTTTTTGTTTATTATGTGTCATGCTTACAGCAGCCTCCTCCTAGAAGCTCCATCTTGCTGTGCTTTTCTTCCATACAGCTTGTCACTGACTGCTATTATATTTGAACTATTTGTTATTCTCTGTATCCACGAGGACAGGGAAATCCAAGGCATTGCTTCTTTGTTCACTGATGTAGTTTGAGTACTCAGAATAGTGCACGGCTCATTTAATACACTGAGTATATATGTGTGGGCTGAATGACTATATGAATAACTATGTGAAAGGGCCTAATGGAATACTCAAGTGCACACGTCACTGCTACCAACTCCATGTGCAGATATCATGTGATATATGCACACTTCCTCCTGCTCTGGAACACTCTGGCTTTTGAATCTTTTCCAATATCAATTGCCTCTTGCACCTAATCCCCTAGGTTTCATGTTTCTTCTCCATCTTCACAAAATCAGCCTTTTGAAGTGAATTTTATAGCATAGCAAGGGTTCATAGACTGTAGAACATCTGTGTCAGGAGAGGAGGATTCTTTCATGGTAGTCATGGTGAAAACAGAACATATAGAGAAAGAAATGAGAAAGTTGGACAAATTTAGTTCCAAAGTTCTGAAGCTTGAAGGTAAATGCCCTTATGAAATCATTGCAAATTGGAAAAGTGTCAAAAGGTTGTCCCTTTTCTGATTAGAATGCACATGGAGGGCTGATGAGATGGCTCGGTGGGTAAAGGCACTTCCACAAAAGCTTGTTGGCTTCAGTTTGGTTCTTGGACCCCGGGCAGAAAAAGCACCACCTCCCAAGAGTCTTCCTCCAAGGTGCAGACACCCCATGGGATGTCGTCCCAGGACGTGTTACACACACTCACATTGTATCCAGACAACATCAATAAATAAAAGTTAAAGCTCAGTCACCTGGACGCCAGAGTTTCATATCCAATTCTGAGTCCAACATGGGTGCTGAGTTTTTATTTAAGACAAAAATGGCTTCAGAGATGGCGAGCAGTATAATGAGAACTCATAGGAATGGTTGGACAGCAGCAGACAGTGTGCCAGGCATTATTACAAATTCTGTTAATAAAGTTACCTAACCCTCACCCTGTGAGGAAGATAGTGTCATGTCTTCTTTCAGGTGAGAAAATGAAGATACAGAGATGTTAAGTAACTCAATGTCACACAACTAGTCACCGCTGATTTCAAAGTCATATTCTAACTCTTGTGCCGTTGTCTTTGAATATATGCAGATATGCAACTGAAGAAAACTGAGGCTGAGACCAAAGTTCTAAGGCAGCTTTAGTTGTAACCTCAAGTTCCAGGTTCACCCCTTAGTCAGTTTCCCGAGTGTATTCAAACTGTGTAATGGGTTTGGTGCTACTACTTGGTTACACCTACTCGTGTCTCTTCTATTAGCCTGCTCAACTACCTTTAAGGGTTGTCCTTAATTCACTTTTGAGCCATTACATTTAGTTGCAGGTATGTCATATAATCAACATTTAGGTTTTGTTAAATAAACAGAAAAATGCCCTTCCTCATGTTTTCAAATTAACTGGAGCTGTCCTAATTAAGGTAGCTGTCATGTGATGTAGTGAGCTCTAGTCACTGGCAATACTCAGTTCTATGCTGCATGTATTTTGTTTTGTTTGTTTTTGTTTTATAGAGATAAGGTCAGGTAGCAAGTAGTCCAAACTGGCCTTCAACTAAATAGCCAAGGATGTCCTTGAACTTCTGTTTTTCCTGTTTCTACCTTGAATATGCTATCATTGCAAGCATGTGTCACCATGCCCAGATAATTCCATGCTGGATATATAACTCAGAACTCGGGGCTGGTGAGATGACGCAGCTAGTAAAGGTTTCTCCGAAAGCCTACAGTCTGTCTTTGTTTCTGTGACCCATATGATGGAGAAAGGACAGAATCAGTTCCACAAGTTGTTTTCTGGTCTTCACATGCATGCTGTAGCACATGCCTACAACTAGCATGTGAATATACATATGCATACCAAAATGAATAAAATTAATTAAAAGAATTTAAAGAACTCAGATCTTCCTGCATGCTAGGCAAGTACATTACCAACTGAGCTCCTTCCCAGCCAAGGCTTATGATTGATGGATTGCAGGTATATCTGCATCATGTGAAAATGGAAGGTTAGGTTAAGTTTCCTCTAAGTATATTATCCAATATGATAATGAGTTAGTTATGAGTTTTCTCCACATATTTCCTGAGTGCTTGCTATGTGCCTAGTACTGCAGGTACAGAGATAAATGTAGCCAAGCCAGTAACACAAGAAACAAGTCACCAGTGACTAAGAGAAGACATGCTTAGGAAAATAGGTTTAAATTTTTATAAAGAAAAATAAATAGAAAAGGACATATTTTAGTGATGTTTTGAGCAAACTTGAAAGGGAAGAGCCAGATAAGAAAATTGAGCCTCACGTCATGTCTTTCTGAATATCTGAGAAGGGAAAATTTGGGGAGTGAAGACCACGTGCTATGAAATTCCCATAGAAATAGTGAATCATTTGCTATCAAGATCTGTAGTAAGGCTGGATTAATTCAGTAGACATTAATTAACTTCTGAAGTATTTTGTAACTCTTGGAACAACTGTGCCTTCTTTTATTTCCAAACTGCTAAAGATGATTGATCTTCCCATCTCCCACTGTGGCTCTGCAGAGGCAAGGGCATGGACTAGAGCAATCTATAAGTCAGATACAAGCAAGATTTCTGTTGCCTGGGACAGAGATTCTAACAGTAGGGCAACTGTGGTCCCCTTCCCCCAAGGACTCTGGTCCCTCATGCTGCTCATCTTTCACACATGTCCAAATTCGTCTTAACAGAGAATCATCGTCACTAGCTGGGACATGATGCCTAGGTGGGCGGGGGATTCCCCGTGTTGTTTAAGTCATGGTTGTCTTTGAGTTTGGCTGGCATGTTCATGATTAGTTTACTAACAATTGGTTTTTTTTCTTCTTATGCCATATGCTATTCCATGATTCATCAGCTTTGAGTCTGTTGCCTTGAAGGTGAAACAATTTCTTCCAATGTTGATATTTCAAAATCTCATAGATAACAAGCACACACATATGCAGAGTCCTTTCAGAAGTTTTAAACATTTGGAGATGAATGAATTATGCTGCTCCAAATGGAAAGGAGTGCTGTAAAATGATAACGGTTCTATCCAGCCCTCTTCTCTGAACAGCTGCTGGACACTGACATGGAAGGCCGGAGGCTTTACTCTTTTTGTTTTTCCTTGTGAAATTATTGACGCTGTGCATTACATAGGATTTTAAGATTTTTAACAGTTTACCTAATTGCCTTGCTTTATATTTCTTTTAATGCTTTTTGTTATAAAATCTTTATTTGGGGAAGTGAATAGGGCTTAAGTTCCAAATTAGCTGTTTATATTGTAGTCATGGCATCATGGATTCAATGAGCAGCAATGACTATCCAAACTTCAAGAAATAGTTTTTACGTTTCTGATATAAACATTAACCTTTCTGTGTTTGAATACAACACTTTACATTTTCTGAGTACAAAACAAAACTGTCCTTTCTACATGGCACTTTTTAAGCATTTAGAAGATTAGGTGTCTGATAAACACGGACCACATTAAATTTCTGCTGACTGCTTTCATTAGTGCACTTAATGTGTTATGCATTGAGCTGCCTGTCTCACACTCAGAATGCTGGTGACTGTTTTTCAGAGAAGTAAAACCTGAGATTTCATGGTTTGAATGCATGTGAAAATATCTATGTGAGTTGTATGATTAGAAAGAGATTTTAAAAAGACTCTAATTTTCAGCATATCTTCTTCTTCTCCCCCTTACCTGGTTTTAGCTCCTCTTTGGTTCAGGTGTGTTGGTGTCCCTAAGCCTTTCTGGGCCTCAGCTGGAGAAAGTGGTGATTGACAGAAGCCTGGTGGGGAAGCTCATCTCAGACACCATCAGTGATGGTAATTACACCCGTGTGCAAATCAATTGCCTACATTAACAGTGGGGCAGGAGAAATACTTTGTCAACAGGTAGACTAATTATTACCACTGGGGACTTGCAAACACAACAAGTAATTGCTTATAATAGCATACTTACAACCCCTGGGACCAATAACAGGCTTCAACTAATATTTAATGTCCGTGCACTTTTCTTCTTGATAAGTGTTAGGCGCAGAGTCTAAGTACTTTCCAATCTTTCCTTTACATTTTTGAATATAATTTTAAAGTACACTTTTCTCATTCATTAAGAATAATTTCTCTGTTCTTGACAATTCCAATTTTTCCAAATGAATTATACATAAATAACACAAATATGCCAAGGCAGGGACTGGTGAAATACCCTGAGTGCTTTGCTTCCCGTATGAAGCTGCATGTTTACTCATTCATGAATACTAGCTTCTGAGTAATGTGTGGTTATACTTTCTAAGTAGCAAAAGTCAATGCCGGATACACCAGGGAAGCAGATCTATTAGGTGACAACACCGTGCATGGTTGGGATAAAGCACATTCACAAGATTTTAAGCCATTTATTGAGTAGGAAGGCTCCTGATATTTGTTGAGCTATAAAGGTTCCGTGCTGGGTGCCATTGTATTTAATTCGAGAAAGGGCTATATAAGGTATGGTTATTGTCATTCTAGTAGAGAAGGAAGGTGAAGATGAGCTAGTCAGAGTAATGGTCAGGCGTCTGTAGTTAGGAAGTGGCTGAGTTAAACTCATCATCTGAACACAAGTTCTGACCTACTTTCTGCTCTACTATGCTGACTCTGGATTTTAAGAGTCTGTTCCTTTATTTGGAGGAAAAAAAATCTAAAGACAAGCCAAATTATCATGAAGGATTAAAAGCAGTGTCTTCAACTGAGTAAGAAAGATGTGGTCTAGCAGAGAGGACAGAGGCGAGTGGGAAGGCCCCTTCTGCTATAGGCACCACTCAGCGCTTCTGAGGACAGCCTAGCATCATTGCAGACTTTAAAGAGAGTGCTCTGTGGGAGGGCTGCAGCTAGCAACACCACTGATAACAACAGGAGGAAGCAGGCAGGACTGTGGGCTTGCCACTTCCTCCACCACGTAGGGGTATGATGCCAAGGGACTTCTCTGTGGAGGTGCTCTGTTTTCATATTCTCATTAAACCCTTCATTGACTTTGCAAATAACACCGACTATGATGGTTTCTCATATTCATGTTCTTCTGTTAGACTGAACAGGGAACTTCCAACACTCTTCTGTCGGAGTTGCCCTTTTTCACGTGTTTCTTTTATTGGTACCCAAATAATACACTCTCAAGGGACATGATAGCAATGTGGTTTCTTGGCAGCTCTCCAGAGACTCCGGTGATTGTGCAGATCCACTGTGGGTCACTGCATGTACATGCAGAGGTGGAATAGAGAAAAGTACAGACAATGTTTACTAATTTCTTTTTTCGCCTGTGAGCAGTTCACGTAGTAATGACTCTGTATATAACCTGTGATACTATCTACCTACTTATATTCTTTAGAAATAAAGCTGTACAAGTATTTTTTGCAGGTCTTCATTATTAAATATTAATTAATATAATATATACATTTGGGTATAGCATACTTTATTTCACCCAGTTTGTAAGTCCTCAAAAGAGGGATTACAGTTAATTTTTTGTGTGTGATTTTTCAAGACAGGGTTTCTCTGTGTAGCCCTGGCTGTCTTGGAACTCACTCTGTAGATCAGACTGGCCTTGAACTCAGATTTCTGCCTGGCTCTGCCCCCCTAGTGCTGGGATTAAGGGCGTGTGCCACCACCACCTAGCTATAGATGAAAAATTTTAAATAAAAAAAAAATAAGGTTGGTAGAGACCACTAATCAGCATCAATCCACTTATTCTCAAATGGCTTATATGGATATATGAATGTAGAAATCGTACATAAACACAAATAAAAGTCTCTTTAATCTTTTTATGCCTTTTTTTTTCTTTTTTTTTTCTTTTTTGAGACAGGCTCTTACTGCGTATCCCTGGCTGGCCTCAAACTTTGCCTGTCTCTGCCCTCCAAGTAATGGGATTAAAGGTATGTGCCGCCATGCCCAGCCTCTTTTATGTGTTTTGTGCTCTGGTTTCCAAATACTTTCTTTGGTGGTGGTCTTCAAACATTAGTTTATATGGAAATAGTCATGGAAAAAGAGAGGAAAATACCAAATCCTTATGATTGTATTGATGGTTATTGTTTATTTCTCCTATCTTTAACATCATCCAGGATATATTTGGGAGATGTTAGTAACTTCAATTAATATTTATTTTCTGACAGTATCTTTTAATAATATTTCAGTGGAAATGTATCAACTTGTTCTAACTTTGTTCTAACTTGGGATCATTAAATCCCTGTTTTAGCTCTTCTTACAGACAGTTTCATCATCTTATCATTTTTGGCACAAAACAAACTATGTTTTATTCAGTTTACAAAGAAGATGGATTCTCTTGATGTAAACAAGAGATTGGAAAAACTCTCAGCCTTGGATTATAAGGTAGAAATTTCAATGTATATAGTCATATTACTACTCATTAAAGCACACTAAAGCATTGCATGAGTTAATGTTATGGTTTTTACTCTTGAACGTTGTGGGTTTAGGGAAACCTGAATCTACCTTTGTACCTTTCCTGTGGTGGAGGCCTAATGATGACGTATTTGAGCTTATGGAGGGCAAAGTTGGCTTTCGTGCTGATGTTAGTAGATAATTCTTTATCACGTTCCACTGAGGAGTCATATAGCCACTCTGGTTTTCACTCAGAGAAAGGAAAGAAGGAAGAAGGTCTTTCAAAGATTAATAGAAAATGCAGTAAGTAATGGGAAGACGCTCACATCCCACCCCAGCTGTACAGGGGGGAATACAAAAGGACATTTCTTTCAGGTGTGCTAGTCCTTCTCCCTCTGCTAACCCCGGGGAATTTGTTTCCCTGTATCATGGACATTGCATTTGTTAAGGCAGGATTTTTAGTTTAAATGATGTGCTTAGATTTTCCACATTACATTTGAACCGCTGGAAAGGCATAGTCTCTGCAAGAGTGAGCGTCTAATACATTTTCCAGGCTGTTTCAGTTCAAGGCATCTTTTCAGCACTGACTTGTGTTTGCAAGATTGATCCAGCCTCTGTGACGTGGATTTGAGACAGTTCACTGTTCAGTGGGAACAGAGCTGATACAGCTTTCTTAAAAATGATGCACATGTATGCCAGAGGCAAAGCCAGCCCTGTAGCTGGTAATTGGTATGTGTGCTTAGAAGCTGTTTTTTTGTATCTAACTTTCTGCACTTTGGAATTGCTATTTATGATGATTGGGGTAATAGTGGCATAGGAAATATATAATTTGTTTAATAGAAACATCTATTCTTATAAGAAAGAGTTTAACATGGAAAAAGTTACCTAAAATAAGTTTTTCATTGTGATAATAAAATACTGTATGGCTAGTATGCCAGATTTGTGGAGCTTCTATAAAATTTACATGATAATGATTTTTTTCTAATTGGCAATTTATGATATTCATGTATCATATTTAGTTAGTCAAAAATCAAAGATTCCCTTTAATATTATTACAGCATTGTTTTTTTCCCCAAATGGTTAACCTATATTGATTTAAAAATGTTGTTTTTTTCCTAATGTTGATTTTTAAAAATGTATCATTCTTCATTAGCTAAAGCTTTTTAAAGTGTTATTAACCTTATTATGTAAAATCCTGTATGACTAGTTCCTTTGTTTCAGATATGATAGGTAACTGAGTGATGTCTTCTTGACTGAAAGATGGTAGCTAATGAGAGCTGAAACTCTGAGGGTGTCAGGTATTTTTTTAAAAAAATATATAAAAAACAAGCCTAATCTTTGGGTCTATCTTGCTTAGATAGGGGATTTAACACAGTGTTTCTGCCTTTGGACTTTGGCACTTATTGGCACTCCGTATCATTGCTACACAATAGAGGAATATGTTTCCTTCTGGAAAGACCATGATTTTCATTTCTTCCTGCAATGTTTGAAACAGATAATTAGTGAATGCCATCATTTACCAACTGGAAGGCTAGTGTAAGAAACTTACCCATTTTCCCTGCTCTCTTGAGCATCATGACAGAACACCAATGCCTTTCAAATTCACAGGAAACATAAAATCTCAAACAACTACTCTGTATTGTACAAAAACTGAATATGCCAATCACTCATTTTTAACTTGACTTTATCATCTGGATATTTGTAACATGCCTACATGGCAGGCTGGATACCAAAATATAATGTGCATGTGTCTTTAAATACTTAGCAATTATAGTATTTCTCTCAAATAAGAAGGAAGTTTTAATAATTACATCAAAAACTTAACTATAAGTATTTATACTTAAAAACATAAAGTGCATCTGTGTTTTATCAATGTCCATTTGGATTTTAAAACAAGAACTTTTATCGAGTATTTGTAATTCTGATTTTCTTTCCAGTTATACCATAATTTAATTATTTCACACTGAAATAATTTTGACAAGAAGAATTTCAGGGTAAATATCCTGACAGTATTGACCTTTAACAAGCTTTCCTGTCCACATTTAGAATTCAGTTCAGTTTACCAGTTGAGGGACAGTGCAAGGAGTTAAATGTTTGCTATGAGAGAACAACACTGGTAATTACTTTGATTTGGTTCCTTTTGATGTATATTCAGAGGATGAAGAGGTCAATAATATTATGGCCATGCAAATAGAAAAGAGTTCCTTTTGACCATGTTGGAAAAAAAATAGCAGAGGATTATTAAAGCATTAACCTTGATTTTAATGGCCTTGGTTGAGTGGTGAGATCACAATTTGGATGAGCCTGATTATTTACTAAATACAATACATAAATGCAACGGGTTCTTAACACCCATTGCACTCTGGCATTATCGCATTACTGCCATCCTTTGTTGCCTTGCAGACAGGAATATGAAAGCAATCTGTCATGTAGTGAGACTGGCTCCAGAAGCATTTCTCTGATAAGAAGACCCCCTGCCCTTTGCTAGTGTCTGGTCCAGTAGGCTTAGCCATGCGCTTAATCCCCAGAAAGTGGTTCGATTATTGCTGACCAGCAATGGCAAGATAGTTTTTTTTCCTTCCAAGCTATCAACCTTCCATTAATTCCTTAAGCAGAAATACGGTGCAATCTATATTTCCTTGGCATGTGTCACCCAGATGGTGCCGTGCTTATGTTTTCAAATAACCATGTTCCAAAATAACATAGTTTGAATAATAAATTCGACAAATCCTTCCTAAGAAAGAGAAGTGTAATTCTCAGAAGCTGCATAAACTTTCACGTACGATGCCATGGCTTATCCCTTTTATGCAGAATATGTGTGTATACGTCTCATATATTCTTTTAAGAGATATTTGCCTCAGGTTGTTTTTTCCTTTTATTGTTGTCAGTTATTGTTACTGTGTTATGTCTTAAATAGTAGTCAGATACTCTTGGTCAGCAGTACTGAACTTGTCATTTAATATAACTGATCCTAAACCCTATGTGTAGGTCGATGCTGTCAAGCAACCATGACTGTACATTTTAGTATTGATTGGAATTGCTACATCTAGTTCCTCCATCCTAACTCGCATTTCTTTTTTTCCCTTTCCTCTGCTAAAAATTGGGAGAATTTTGAACATATGTCTTTTTTATGTATGTGTCAAAAGAATTTGGTAAATTCTGACACCCTCTTAAACACATGTTGAGGATGCATATTTACTTGTGTGTATTACATTTACAGATGCTTCGATTTTTTGGAACTACTCAGATTATTTTGCACCCTTTGAAAGAAACATTTTCATGTTTCTTTTTGTTTGTTTGTTTGTTTGTTAACCATTAGATTTCCTATTATGACATGCCTGGCCCAGCAAACAGGACACTAGAGCGTCGCTTAGCTATCAATTCCATTCAGGATGTACTTGTTTGCTGGTGGCCGCTGGTCAGTGATGGCGCTTGGCCTTGGACTCCAATCTCTTCTGAGAAGGACAGAGCCAATCTCCTGCTCCTGGGTTTTACTCAAGGAGGACTGCAGGTAAATCTAAAACAAATGCATACGTTTTAATGAAGTGCAAATAAAATAGTATTGCTGGTTTTTCTATTCTGAAATATGTGTGAATACATTTTAAACCTATAATTTATATTTTTCAAATATTCAAAAGGAAATAGAATATAAAATGAGATCCTAAAATGTAACGTAGCTAGAGCATAAGTAGACAATTTCAGGCTGGCTGAACTGTGCAGTGATTGAAAACACTGGCTTCTGGGTTCATATGCTGATTCTGCTCTACTTTGCCCTCTGCGTGAGTGAGTTACTAACTTCTAGGTGTTGTCATTTCAGTATTTGAAAAGTAGAGTTAAACTGGTAAGAATAGTGTATACGCATAACACTTACACACAACAAACTTGTAATCACTGTTCACGGTTGTCGATAGCACCAGTACTGTTTGTTGAGGAAAAGCCATGCTACCAGTTACCCTTAGCAACTCTCCGTCAAATGCCTGTTGCATGCAAGCCCCTGTGCTGGTGCCCGTCAGTGGGGCAAGGAGCTGCAAGGGAGGCTTCAGCACAGCAGTCTCCCTCAGGACCCGAGTGCTGATGGGAGCCCTGGAGCACAGCCTGCGCTCATGCTGGCATTCTCAGTCTGTGTCTCCCACAGTGCTGTGGTCCTTTACTCAGCCACACAGTAGACTGTGTGTGCTTTCACTTTGTACCTGTGTAAATACAAACTTTTGGTGTTCTTTTTTATAATCAAAAAGGGTTCTCTCCTTTTTAAAGTTTTAGTTTTGACTGGGTGAAGAAAATCTATTCCACTGTTTTCCTCTAAAACTTCAGACTTTAAGAAGTATTTCTCACATTAGTGTTCTGGTTTAAAGTGAGTAGGCCTATGCATTCTCTTTTCCCACCTACATAAACTTTCAGTCTTTTGAGTTTTGTTTATTTTGGAGACTGGGTTTTGTTATGTAACCTGAAACTCCTGATCCTCCTGCCTCAGCCTCTTGAGTGTTGAGTTTGAAGGCATGTGCTACCATGTCCAGCTTTAGGCTGCCTTTTAATATTGAAGGGTCCTAGTACTTCATATTTGATATGTATGCATGTCTTCCTTAAGAACTGGATTTTTTTCCAATTTTTCTGCAGTGAGCTACCCAGTTTTATGTCTGGTTTGGGTAGATTATCTAGTCTAACTGGCCTTAGTTTTCTTGTTTTTAAGATAGTAAATTTAAACCATCTGAGTTCAACCCAGCCCCCTGGTGGCTCTCAAGAGTGCAGGTATGGGGACTAAAGCACAGATCTGTTGTGGTCATTTCCACTTAAATCTTTATTTGATCTTGACCTAGCTTTCCAGTGTTGTTTTCTTATATAAATCTATGCGCCGGCCACATGAATTGACTCACCAACTCATTATTTCCCATTTCCTGTATTAATGGTGTTTCTGTCTGAAGTAGCCAGCAGCTCTGAGCGTGACCTTGCATAACCTCTATATTTCATCCCAGATGGCAGGAATAGGAAACTATCTTGCCTTCAAGGACCTTAGTTGCTTTTTTTACCGGTGAGAGACAAATATGAAAACACTTAGTCAGTTTGCTGTAGGTAGAGTGTGTATAAGCTGTAGTGGGAGCCGACAGGGAGTGGCTGATTCTACTCAGATAGTGAGAAGATTAAAAGGCTTTACAATGTGCTCAAAGATGAGATGGGTACCCAATTCTGCTTGCTTTTATTACCTATTCTAGATTTAATTTCAAGCCTTTATTAACACTGTGGAGTGATTTTGCTAGCCTTTTCTCCCCTCTGAAACAGTGTCAAAGGGGATTATATGAGCTCGATTTTTATAAGTTACTGATTCCATTTTTAAAGAGTTGTTTAAGTCTTTTCGTGGGAGGCAGTTCTGTTTTGTCAAGTTGTTTCCCATAGTTTTCATGAAAGTATCCACTTTATGGAAGCATCTGAATCTATTTTTATAAATTTGTATATGATATGTGAGTATCATTTTTTTGTGCTACCAGAGATCTAACCCAGAGCCTCTTTCATGCCAGGTAAGCAAGCACTCTACCCCTGAGCCACACCCCAAGCCCACTTTCTCCTTAGTACGTTCTCTTTCACTTCTGATAGTTTATTATGTGCAGTTCATTTTCCCGGCAAGGGCTTTGTCTTAGCACTCGGCCCTTTTAGCTGCTCTATCAAAAGTCAACTCTTCAAAAAATTCGTCAAGTTCTTTCCAGAAACTTTTGTGAATTTCACTATTTAAAAGGTAAATAAATGTTGGGGGTGGGGAGGATACTTGTTTTACTTTTTCATACAAAGAATTAATCTTTAAGTGGAACATTTTTTAGCATGTCATGCATTAAAGCCACCAGTGGCTGAAAGTCATGGTCAAGACTATTCCTTTAGTTTCTTTTTCAATAGCAGCTACAGATTTTTTTAAACAAACCATCAGAATAATAAGACAATATGCTTTTAAGCACTGAAATTATAACCAAAAGAGGGAAGAATCTTCACAGAGAAGAAATTGAATCTGTTAAACTATAGAATTTTAAAAAAGCATTTCCTGTCTAGCCCTTACCAGAAAAGATAATAAGCTTTTATTTCAACAGTGGCAGAATCCCAGAACAGTGTTCCTACCCAGTAATAACATCACAGTCGCCTGCGGAGCTTCTGAGCCTGGGCCGCCACACTTCCTCCATCAGAATCTCCGGTCAGGAGGGGGCATCGGTAATCTGTTTCAGGTTCCCTAGGTGATTCATGTGCATCCAAGTTGAGAACCATTGCTTTACAGCAAACTTAAAAAAATAAAAACTGAAGCCATCTTTTTTTTTGCATAACAGACCATGGAAAGGATAAAGCCCACATAGTGAAGCAAATGAGAGTTTTAACAGTAGACTCTAAGTAGAAAATTGGCTTACCAAGCTGCTAAAAAAAAATAAGAAAAGAAAACAAAGGAAACAGAAATCAACTCTCTGTGACCAAATTATCTGTCTTTCTGAGGGAAAACATTTTAAAATTTATTTTATGGATATTAGAAAACGCCTGGCCCAATTTCACACCACGGAGTTCTAAACAAATAGTGTGTATCTTAATTAGAAGCGTGGAGCAAAGGAGTTATGTAGTCTAAGAAAAATGGGTGATAAATAGTGTAGAAAAGGGAATTTTATCAGTAAATTCATAAAGCCCCTATTTTAGGGGCTTGGGAGTTGGCTCAGTTGTCGTTCAGCCTACAGACCTGAGTTTGATCTGCAGGGCCATAAAAAGCCAGGCGTGATCCTAGCACGAGGGAGTGGGAGACAACAGGATCCCCAGGCTCTCTGACCTGGCAGCCCAGCCCTTGTCAAGTACCATGTCCTAGTTAGAGAGCCCATCTCAAAAGAACAAGGTTGATGCCTACTGAGGAACAACACACAGCACAGACCTCCCACCTCCCCGGACACACCCACACATAGCACCTGCACACATACACGAGCCTGTATATACGTATGTGAGCATATTTTAGCAGTTTATGTGTGGGTTATTGTGTATTATATGGTAATGTCTCCATTTAAATTTTTATTCCTTATACTTTATTTTGAAAAATTTTTATCATTTTCTTCTGTTGTATACATTTACTCTGACAAGAATCTCATGACAACTTATTCTTCTCTTTTATATTTGCACAGTCATTTTAGCTTTTTAGATGTGTGAATCTGATACTTCTTTCTGCCCGTGGTGCTAACATCACAGTATCTGTCAAGAGACCAACTGAACTTGCTCACCAAGGTAGTCACGACACAGTCGCAGAACATTTCAGATAAACCTCACAGACACATGTTTTTCTTATGAAAGATTTTGTTGTTTGTGTTTATTTATTGCTGTTTGTGTTGAAACAAGGACTCATGTAGCCCAGGCTATCCTTGAGCTCTCAATTGTCTTGCCTCTGCCTTCAATGCTGGGCACCACCCCAAATGAAGCATTATTTTTGTGGCAATTCTTTAAGAGTAGTAACTGATGGGAAAGTGTTTATGTCCAGCTATTAATATAGTACAATTTGGCAAAGGAATCCAGAAAATTTACAGATATTTTCAACTGAAAAGCTAAAATAGTTATGAACACCAAAATTCATTATGAACCCAATGAAGTACATCTGTGTTAGCTTTTAGCTAAATGATTCAAATATTCCGTTTTAGGGAATGCGAGGCTTGCATTTTTGTAAGTGCTGGCTTAATATATATTTATTACAAAATACAATGCATATAAAACAAACCACACAAAGGCATGGCTTAATGTGCTATTATATGCAAAACCCCCTTGGACTTGGTGGCCAGGTGGGGAACTAGAACTTTGCAGCCTCGTGAAGCACCTCTCTGCTGTCTCAATCTTAACTGCTACTCCATCCCCAAGGTAACCATTGCCATTGACATCAACCACTTTCTCGTTTGCGTATACAGTTTCTACCACCTGTGTGCATCCCCAGAAAACAGAGCAGACTGTCCACTTAAAGCATTTCAGTGTGTATCTTATGTACAAGTTCCCATCAGCCCCATTCTTTCCTTAAAATGTATCTATTGCAACGGCAGTGGCGTGGACTGGACCTAGTTTGTATCACATGGCAGCCTCTGCCATGTTTCTCTGTCCTCTGACCAGTCTGCAGGGTCGTTTTGGAGTCTCTCAGGAGTAGTTGTCCTTTTATCAACAGGCGTGTCGTTTCAAGTTCACTTGCCTTCTTAGTTGTTTCTGGTTTTTGATGATAACAGCTATTGATGTTCAGTTCCAAGGTGCATTGATTCATTCATTAATGTTTCAAAATAGTAACTTTCTAATTAGATTATTTTATTTTCATTTATTATTTGGACTTTTTTATAAAATGATACCTCTATCAGCCTTATATAATAAGCTGAATAAAAATGTCTTTTTTCTTACCATTTGTCAAGATAATAAACCGATCTATAACAAAGGTGGTTGATTTTAATTTTTAAAATATTATTAATTCATAGATTCAAACATTCTATTTGATATATTCATAAATTATAACTGTATCCTTTAGAAGCTTACATTACCCCATTTGTG